GAGCGAATGCCCGCAGCAGCAGCGCCCTCTGCCGGCGCTGCCCGGCACGGCCCCAGCAGCCCAGGAGAGCTCCTTACTGGGGAAACTGGGAATCGGAATTCTTCTGCCAGACACCAAAACTACGAGATTATCATAACAAAAGTAACAGAAGAGCGAACGCGGAAACCGGCTTGAAACAAGAAATGGATCGCACCTACCTAAGCTGTTGTGTTCTTTAAGAGTTTTCTCTTGCAGGTGTTCTAACCGTACTGTAAACAGAAGTCCAAGAAAAAGGTATTTCACAGATTAAAAAAAACCAAGTAATCCAAGTTCTTTCCCCGCTATTGACTAACCTTGTAAAGCAGTCAGCCGCTCATTGGTGAAGTCGTTATCAGCCTGCAAAGCTTCTATTTTTGCTTGAAGCTCTTGCTCTCTTTCTTCCATTTCATCTATTTTATGCTGCAATTCCTTTTTCTCAGCCAGTCCTTTTTGTTGGATTTCTTCTTGTCTTCCTTCTGCTACCTGCTCAAAAAGATTTTTTTAAATCCACCAAAAAATCAAAATTAACATGTGGAAGAATAATAGATCTTAATTTTCATGCAACTAAATGTATGTAAGTGACTTTCTTAGCTAATCAGATTTAAAAATGAAAACAAAATCAAATCTACTACCTTTATACAAATTTCACTACAAGCAGACTGAGAAAATCTCAAAATATCTGAAGCAACTTTTTGACTGAGGAACATAAATTTAACAGCAAGAGTAAAGGGCCTTAGAACTAAGAAATGCCCAGAGTCTCCAGCATCTCAATTCAATCAAAACCCAAGAACCCTTCTGAACTGAATGTACACTGCACAGACCATCTTGATTGCAAGCCACATCTCTTTCCTTGCTGAATCTCAAGAACGTAAGTTTTAAACTGTCTCCTCCCTCAAAACAAGATAATAAATTTCAGGTTTGATCCTTCTGGGTACACTCATCACCATCAGTGATCGACCCATTACTGGGAAACTGCCTTAGGAGCAGCAATTGAATCTTTTCATTTGGAAAGAAAAATTTCTCTGAGGTACTGAACTAGAAACCTGGGTTCCAATTCCAGTATTTATCCAATATAAATGCAACAACTGCCTCAGGTCTCCAGAGATGATAACATTACCTTCCTCCTCCACAACTCCTACTTAACTAGACTGGAGACTCTTGGAGAATAGGCTTTATCAGAGTGATTATTCTGTTCTCCAGCATAAAAGACCTTAAATACTAATTTATTTTATTCATAGACTTAGATATTGACACTATTGCTAACTGTTGTTTAGTAAGTTTAACTTTTTTGTTAGTTGCATTAGAAATTAAACTGTATTTATTTGTTCAGTTTATCACATTTATTCTATCCTAAGTCAGAGAAATTCTGTCATTACCTTTAGCTTGTCAGAAAGATCTTTAATTTCATTTACAGCTCCATTGTACTTATTAGCTAATTCCCTTAATTCTTCCTGAGTCCGCTCATTCATTTCTTTCAGGTGTGTACATTCATCTTCTGTGTTACTTAAACTCCGCTGTAAGACAGAATAATTTTGCAATAAATAATAACAAAAGACAGACAAACTACCAAACACTGCAGACAATAAACTACCAAACACTGCATCTGTTTTTTCCAAGCTGTATATATGCACAGGATGCCAACTAGTTGTATGAGACTTCTTGACCAAGGAAATATAGCAAATAATGATAAAGGAAATGAGACTAATGAGAGCTACTATAGGGCAGAAAAATCTTACTTCAAAAGATTGTCTAACACTTGGACTGTAAAAGCTCATTGTAAAAGCTCCTTTTAAGCACACTTTGTACAAGTGGTTAACTGTATATTTCCATAAATGCTGCAGTTTAAACAAGGTCTTACAGCATTTTTTTAATGCATCTATGTAATTTTCCCTGTGTATGTCCCACACACAGAAACTTCTGTAAGACAGCATCATGAATTTTGAAAGCAGGGAGAAAAGAGAAGAGCTGAAAGAATAGTTTCTCATTAATGGTTTAACAATCTTAGCTCTATCCAACAGGAGAAATAAACACTATTACTTAATATCCTTAATATCCAAGTGCAGAGTACAACAGATACTGACATAACACAGCAACAAAGCAGGGAGCTAAACAGGAGTAGTTACAACTATTTCAGCACTTCCAGAAGAACAGGCACGAAACTTCAGTACCTCCACTTCAGATAGTTTTCTGACCACTTCAATTTTCTCCTGAAGGACCCGCCTCAGGGACTCTTTGGCTGTTGTCTCATAGTTGTGTTTGTCCTCCTGTAATGCTATAAGCTCTTTTCGTATACTGTCTTCTGTTTGATTCTGCACACAGAAAATAATTCAAAATAGAATAATTACTGTTTTGCTCATTACATAAGTTAGACTGTGATAAAGCCTGTTCTATTAAATTTTAGCAATTTCTGATAGATGAGAAAATGTTATGTTCAAATCAGCAATCAAAGATTCCTGATGTGACAGGGTGTAAGTAAGTGATTTTTTGACAGCACACATTCAGTGGTCAGTTTTGATCCCAGCACACATTCAGTGGTCAGTTTTGATCCCAGGAGAATTATGGCTCTTTTTTTGGGCACTGCTAAGACAATGTCAAGCCTAGGTGACATAGAACTGGACAAAACAGGTCACAGAGGAAAGACCTTAAACAGGACCTGCAGAAAAAGTTTTTATAACATAAATAGTTAAGAGAAAATAGAAATAAAATAAAAATTAAAATCCAAGGCAGACATAGGTGGCCTAAACAATAATCAGGGTAGCACATACTTGTAACTCTGAATATCAGACAGGACATGGGCAATGAAAACAACAGCCACTTATTGAAATGCCTTGAAATACAGAGCAGATGTGCAGCTTTTGTGCTACTCGGATTCCTACATAAGATTTCCTTTTGGAAAGCTTATGTTCCAAATGCTTTCCTACAACTAGCTACTTCCAAAACTTTTGAAAAGAGCTGCCTTTCAGCATTCCTAATACTTGACTTCAGGTGAACTACTTACCTTTGAACAAGCTTGTAATTGATTTCCCATAACCTCTAGTCTTGATAGCAGCCTGTCTTCATCTATTAAAGCCTAGAAGAAAAGAATTATCACCTTAGAATTATCCCATGCTTAATGTAGTGCCAGTAGAGTTCTGCTTTAAACATCTGAATTTTGTTTGGAGTACTTACTGCTAATAGCTATTTCAAAAGTACACAACCACTAAATTTATTAAACATTGTATTTTGCAGAGTTTTAGAGAACCACCGTAAAGTTTTTATTATTTCTGCTGTTTTTTCCCTGCATTAACAGCTAAAATTGATATGCCAGTGCTCAGTTGAGTCCATAAGGAAAGGATGCTGCAGGTACCTGCCAACTAGTATCTGAAGCCTCTTGTGTGACAGCAAGCAGTCGCTGAAGGGTTGCCAGCTTCTGTTCCAACATTTGTTCCCGATGTAAGGCTTCCTGTGAAGAGAGCAGGGCACCACTCAGCTCAGCTACAACAACTCAGGAAATCAGAAACAACAGAAGAGATCCCAAAATACAACAAAAAAATGTGAGTAGCAAACACTGTCAACTTGTTCAAAACCATAAACCCATTCCATTAAATCCATCCACAAATTGATTTGGATAGTTTAATTAGAAAATGCTGTCCTATAACCTCAGGTTCCTAAACCATTCATTTTTCATGCTATGCTGCACATGCTGAGGACACACTGTTATTCTTCCCAAGACTTAAAGATACTTCATCTCCTCAATAATTTGAGTAACAAAACTGCAGACACCAAAGGACAGCTTGGGAGCTTCCATGCAATGAGCTGTTCATCCTCAAATGAGGTCACAAAAGAGAAATGCCAAGCAAGAACTACTATTTCTGTTTGATTTTTGGTTTATGACAGGAAGACAGAAGAGCATCTTTGTTAACTCCAGGATATGGAGAGAGAACAGATTGGTGAGTGAATATGTATTTGGCTTCCAAAGAAAGAGCATCTGCATGAGCTCCTTCCTGCTATGTCAGCAAATACACGTAAAGACAGTATCTATCTCAAAAGACTTGATGTGAACAAATAAAAATTGCCATTATGAAATAAACCAGGCAAAATAAATCAGTAGAACTTATACACAGTTAAACCTGGAAAGAATTTAGCAGCAAAGAAGTTTTCCTTTTTTTTCTCAGGAAGCTGATTTTACCATCCTTTCTAAAGAGTTTTCTTTTATCTACCAGCACACAGTTGAACATGCTACCATTTTTCAGTCTAACTCTTTTGTGCCATGACATCTTGGGAAAAGCACACCTATTAAACTGACACAGAAGCAGGCACAGAAAGGCTGTGAGGAAGAAGAGCTGCCAGCACTGTCCCTTCCTTTGTAGTTTCCAATAGATACAAGCCACAGCATAAGATGTGTTTTGAACAGAAATATTCAGCCAAACTAAATGTCCTTAAAAGAAAACTTACTTGTAGATACTGTGAAAGCTGAAACAATTCCTGAGAATACATACTGGGAGCGTTAGCAGCAACCTGAAAAAGAAGACAAGTAAGAATTAGAATGGTTTTAGATTTTTCATTAAACAGAAGTAATGCAAAATTCACTTATATCTAGTCACAAAGGTAAACATTACATTATCTAATAATAGCATCTTGCTTCATTTCTTGTTCTGTTATTATTTATGGGTTTTTTTTATCACAGAACTTCCCAACTTGGGACTTAGGTCCCACTGTGTTTCTGCAAAAGTTCTTGAACCACCAAGACACTAATGAGTTTAAAGCTTTTGGTACAGTTGAGACTGAATTGACAACAAAGAAACAAGGGGCACAAAGGTGAAGCCATTCAACTCATTGGCAAACACAAATTGTGGGCTTCCAGCTCAATGTCACCACACATATTATGGCTGCACACTTCCTGCTGACTCACGAGTTATCATCATTGTCTCCCTTTATAAGCATCTATTTCAAAATTAAGGAATACCTGTACTATCTTTGAATAATGACAAACTGTTCTTCACTTGGAGAGAAGTGAGGGGTTGCTCTATGGGTTTATTTCAGCCAATCTAATGATTTACTAATTCTTGTAGGCTTCCTACATTGAAATAATTTTTAACTCTTTTCCCACAGTTATACCTGCAGTCCCTCCTCAGGATTTCTACCCTTGCCCTGGATTCAAGCCACACATATTGTTTAGAAATCTGAACTTAAACACAGTCTATAAACTCCTCAGGCTGCTGGTTTCATAACTAAGTTTCCACAGCTGCTTGATATTTTGTTCTTCAAGTACAAAACTCCGATTAGAACATATTTAAGTTAATCCTTCTTTTTAGAGGCTAGAGAAATAATCAACTCCTGATCACTTTTCTCAAGGGAATATCCATTAGCAGCTTTTCTGCAAGTCCCCCACATTACCAAAGCTGAGTTTAAGAATTACACTTTACAATATTGACTCCATGACTCTACAGTGAGCAACTGTGGCTCTACAGGAGAGGCAGAGAGGTTTGGTCTCAGTCTTCCTTGGAACAGGACAATGCATTCCAGACTGTGCAGCACAGCTTCTCCTCCATAAAAAGATATTATATAAAAAAAAACAGACCTCATCCAAACACCAAATCATGAGCTACTCTTGGGTCCCACAGAACATCAAGTATTCAATTATGCAACACCTGTGAACCTGTGCCTGGAAATGAACCATCTTAACATCAATGGTTGTGTTCCAAAGCCATGTTTCAGGTGCCACAATGTAAAAAGTCAACTTACCTTCAAATGTACACTGTGATAACTGCATTACTTCTCTACCTTAAATGTCACTCAAAATATTAAACTAGATAAAAAGAGTCAGTGGAAAACATATCAAAATGTTACTGGACAGATTTCACTATTTCTTCACCTTGATAACAAATCTGAAAATAGCATGTGTCTGAAAAAAACATAAAGCAGCAAATTACTGAATTACCTTGTCAACAGGACTTGGTAATGGTGCATGGATAACACTGAAAAATAAAAAAAATATACAAAATACATAAATGTTGTACTTGGACACTTTCATCAAAATTAAAAATATAACATCATATGTTTTTACTATTTCTTATTTGAACATGAAATTATATGGAAAATCTTCTATAGTAATTTACTTTTACTGATCTTCCCACAAGCAAACAAAGACACCCTAAAGCTTCACATAAGTATTTCTGGATAGTAATGATAAAAGGATATTTAAATAAGCAATAAACCCTACAAAACTCTGGATAATGAAAAATGACTAAAATTATGCTATTTGTGATTAGCACTCAGAGCACACAAAATGTTCAAGTTTTTGGTTTCTACTGCTCTTGGAAGATTTCTCAAAAATGGGCATACAGACAGAAAATACTGTCAATATTCATCTGAGTTTTCGTTAGCTTCACTTTAGTCAAGTTTATGTGCATCTAAAAGAGCCAAAAAAATAATCACTAATAAAGAAATAGGGCAGGAGAATTTGCTTATTTGCTTTACTTTTCTCCATATTCTTCTGTTTCTAATACCCATTTCAGTAGAGTAAACCACAGTCAGAAAAGCCCAACTACATAAGAATTTTTTCTTTTTTATTCTTCAGAGTTGTCTTAATTACTAAAACCCATAAGGAAATGAATTTTTTTTCTTCATAATGCCTGCAAAAGAACCATGCACTCAGTTACTCCCTTTGCAGGATTGCAGGCAAACCAACTGCTCCCATGATGATTTTAAACATAATGTCCATCAAATCCTCATCACACAGTAGCTGAACTTTGGTAGATGTGAATCCATATCCTTACTCTGATCGCAATCGAGCTTCCATTCCATCTGGAAGGAACAGTTTGATTGTGGAGACTATACATCCATGGGTCACTGAAAAGAAACAAACACTAAGTCATCATGATCCATTACTACTTGATTTCAAGTTCAGTGCTTCATGTTCCAGTGACCAAGCAAACTGCCTGAAGAAACCCTGAGGCAGGCAAAGAGGAGAAGGCATGAACACCTTCAAGCACCAGTGCCTGGCTCTGCCTGCTCAAACCTCCTCTGGACACAGGAAACTTCACCATTATAAACCTGAAGGGGTCATGCTGTGTACTCAGTCCTGGCTGTGGAACAGTTCCACTTCCAACTCCTCCACGTGCTGCAATATCTGAAACTTGTCTTTACTGTACAAAGTTAAAAAAGTGAATGTTTTGATCATAAGGGAGTGAAACAGAATGGATCTTACCTGCAACAGGTAACAGGAATGCAGAGGTATAAACAAAATAATGAGCTGCCTTTTGGACAAGATTCTGACAAGCATATCCAGGGACTTAGAAGGGACTATGTCCAATTTGTGTCACCGACACTTCAAAATGTGGAACTTGCCAAGCAATTATTATTTACAAATAAGGATGGAAAAGGAAATGCAGAGAAGTGTGCAGGAACCACTGAGAACTACATCCTTTTGAACACTGTAAGCAGCATCATTCAAGACAACACATTTCTATTTTGGGGTGCTTGCAGTGCACACCTACTGCATAGCCCAGCTAAGTGGCCTTTCCTTTCAGAAGAGGTAAACTTGCTGCTTGAAGACTAAATTCAAGATTTGTTTAACTCGAGAAAGATCCTAAGGAATAAGAGGAAGAAATGCAATATTTGATTTTTACATCAAATTCAAACCTTCTACACAATGTTTTGAAAAATATTACTGATATGATTTTCAGTGCCTTTGCAAACAGTCAAATTATGTGTGTGTCTTGGTTGACGTCTTTTCCCTGTATGGTTCTATTAATTGGAAAGCAAAAATTATTTCCAGATACATGGAAAGACAGCTGTACATTGTTCCCAAAACACTACCACAAGTGAGATACAAATGAGTGTGTGGTCACCTATCATGAACCACTGTACCTCCAGCACCCACTAACATACAAAACAAATAGCTGCTCTCCTTCCTCTCTTATTAATATCAGCAAAACAGTTAATCTGGCTGTGGAAAAAAAGGGCAATGGGCGTTTTAGGACACTGGTAATACTCCAGGGAAATGAGACAGGTCTTTAAGGAAGCTACCTCAATAGAATCTAAATATAGAGGAGAAATGAATCCAACCAAGACAAGATGGTTTTAACCTTTATTTAGCTAATGCTTTGGAGACGTATTCTCCTGACTAGAGCATCTTGTTTTTTTTCAAGCTGACCTGGTAAAGTATTAAATTTACATGCCAGGGCAGAACAGATTAAACTGCAGGGTTTGGGGTCTTGATTTATAAATTGAATAAATCCAGTTTGCAAAAAACATTTAAAAAATACATTAGCAATATTAGCTGTACCCTGTAATACATAGCTTTCACAATGCAGAATTCTTTCTTTTAGAGGAAATCAGTGATTTTAATAAGAAAACATTAGGATACCTGACATTAAATGGCAACAGACAGCTTTACCTTCGGGTCACATATCAGGTAGGTCTGCTGTAAGATTATATAATTCTGAAGTTTTTCTGTCAACAGCTAGACCAAAAAAAATCTCCTAAAATCTGCAGGAGCTTTATTTGTGTCAAGATATAACAGACTTCTAGCAAAAAGTCTCAAATAGACAGTGACTGGGAACAGGTACCAAGTATTTTGACAAACTTATAAAATTAAAATAGTAAGAAATGAAACAATATCCAAACTCTGCAGTCTGACCTTAAGCTATCAGTTCATTGCAATTGGAAAAATAAGGAGAAAGCAACACAAAAACCACGAATACAGTACTGACTGCACAGAAGAACAGCAACGGTTTAAATTCAGGTCTACAGTATTTCTTATGAGGAATTAACAAGAAAAGGCAGTAAAGCAACGCCTGGCGTCCCAAGGAGCTGAGGCACCCCTTGTCCCCGCGGCTCACCCCCTCTCCTTCTCCATCCATCCCACTCACCTCGGGGC